TATTGAAGATAATGGAAAAAAAAGATAGGGCTATGGATGGGTTGCTGTGGACTGGAAAATTGGGAACTATGGATGACTATGGCACCTGCCGAAACAATGTAATTATTACACGTAAAAATGGCAGGCGGAGACTCGCCAACTCACCGACCGGGCCCCGGAAATGGCTGCTAGATATAGCAACAGAGGGGCAACGAGAATGTGAGTGGCTGAAGGGTTAAGAAACTACCACCGCTTTCTACTCAGATCATCTGCTCCAGCCGAAGCCTCCTGCATCCCTGGCCCACTCGCGACTTACGAATAGTTTCTTACCCTCCGAGCAGGTTCACTGCTCTCGCGACTCCACTCTGGACGGCCAATGAAGGCAAGCCAGAGGTGGGAGACCTGTTCCTTGTCATCGTTCACTCCAGCCAGCCAATTAAGGCAAGCCGGAGAAGAAGGAACGGTGACTTCTCCCTGGAGCACTCGGGATGATGGTAGCCCGCGGGATCGCTAATGCCCGTCACCTCGCCTCAAGGTGCCCTGCGGGCTTATTATTATTATTATTATTACTATCAAACTAGACATAAGAATAGATTAAGTCAGCCAATTTCGAGATTAGCGAAAGTAAGTAAGTCGTTCATGGGATTCTGTGTTAAATGTTATAATAAGATACCAGGCGATGTACAACAACTAAATGAATCGAAATTTAAATTATGTATAAAGAAAACTTTATGTAGACAAGCATATTACAAACTTAATGAATATATAGAGGATAAAAATGCTTGGATGCAGGCTAGTCCGGCTCCACAGGATAACTAAAAACACTTGTTTTAATGAAATCGTAAATAATACAGCCATATTGCTAAATTGTATATTGTTTAACTTAGATAACCATTGTAAATGTGAGAGCCCTGTAATTAACTTAATATTAAATTAGATTAGTAGATTTCATTTGTGTCAGCTTGGAGTGGTCATGCTCACTCAAAGGTCTCATTGGCGGTGGCGCGTGCAGTGGATCGCTCGATTCCCTACAATATGGTTGAGTTGGGCGGTGCTGGTGTACGTGTCATGTTCGTGAACGGGCGCCGTCAACTGGGACTGGTCAGCTCCAGACTGTATTACTGTCCTTAAGGTTATTTTCTTTTTTGATCACTTTGACTGGATTTTGGTGTTACATTGTTCTCGCACAATCCAAACAGCAAAACTATGTAACTAGTAAATTGTATTGTGAACCTGATTGAAAAAGAGTAACCTATGGAGTTTCTTGCTCGTTCTTCTCCATAGGAATCTACGCCCTGGAATGAGCAAATAGCTTCACTTAAAATTTTTGTTTTTGTTGACGTTCAAAAGTGCCATTCTGGCCTAATTGAAATGAATTATTTTGACTTTGACTTCATAACAACATAACATCACGCCTCTTATCCCCGAAGGGGTAGGCATAGGTGCAAATTATGCCACTGTACAATATAACACCCACTTTTCTCGATTTATGTTATGAGGCCCATGTAATTGGGGGTGAGCCTATTGCCATATACCGGGCATAATTCCAGACTCCGTGCTACTACTGAGATTTTTTTTAAAACCCAGTAATACTTTGCCCGACCCGGGTATCGAACCTGAAACCCCTTGCCCGGCAGTCGCACTTTCAACCACTCGGCCAACGAGGCAGTAATTTTTATTCATGTTTAATTTTTATTGTTGACGTTCAAAAGTGCCTTCCTGGTCTAATTGAAATAAATGATTTTGATTTTGATTTGATTTAAGGAGTGGGTGTCTGTGTCTTCAAGGGCCGAGTGAATATGTTGCTTATGGGACGAGGTGCTCCATCGTGGGCCGCATCATCGCTTACCATCAGGCGAGATAGTGGTCATCCATCTGCCCATAATATCTGTAGAGACTAGAGAGGTACAATTCTTTACATAAAATGTATTTCCAAAATAACCATGTAGAATAGAAAACCAAATTATATGAATTTGACGTAAATTTTGACACTTCCCAGTGTCATCCCCATACATTTTGATTTCTACTCTCTTTGTAGACAAGCGTTTGGCTAAAGGCACAGGTGTGCAATGTAGCACGAAAAGGGATTTCTTACCACCAGTGACTCCAAAAACATTAATATACTTGTGATATTTGTGAAATATAACATTAATATTATGACGTTTCTAGACAAGAACGACATTATCGCAAGCAGTATACATTGCTTGCAATAGATACGTACCATTTTGCACTAGGTACATAAACGTACGAGTACCAAATCAAAACTTCATTTCCTCAAATCGATATAGAGCTGTGTTAATTTGTAAACAATCTCGATAATTACTATAATACAAAGGATTATTATCAAATTATACACATTATACCTAAATGAAATAATTTTATTTATTACGACCGATTATGAAATAGGTTTTAAGTGAGGCATTTTATCCCACGACACAGGAGAAAATCCTAGTGTGGGGCAACGTTTTTTTAAAAAAAAAAAAAAAAAAAAAAAAAAAATAAAAAAAAATAAAAAAAATAAAAAAATAAATAATTCGTATTAAAGTATTATATAATTTTTTATGTGTTCGTTATATTTTGTTCAGTAGACTGATTTTATGTTTTAGGAAATTTTATTTTACATAATTACCTTGATATCATCTAAGCGACATCTAAATCATTTTTCGTAAGATGGATTCTTTTTTTTTCATACGTGCATTCATACATTTCATACATTTTTACTCTTTCATACATGCTTGGGCCCAAATTGTAAATAGTTGAAACTAAGCGAAATTATTAAAAGCCAGCCGAAATCTTAGTCAATACTCATCCTTACTAATATTATAAATCGGAAAGTAAGTTTGTTTGTTTGTTCCACTTTCACGCCGTAAATACTAAACCGATTGCTTTGAATTTTTGCAGATGTGAAGTCAGAATTCTGGATTAAATAATAGGGTTCTTTTTATGCCGGAAAAATTTGATATTCTCGAGGGAAAACAAAATTATTCGTATAGATGGCGCTGTGTGTATTGGTATATGTCACATAGGCTACTTTTTATCCTTTTGTGACGCGAGCGAAGCCGCGGGTAAAAGCTAGTAAACTATAATTTAAAATAGTTGTTGTGGTTTTCTATTCGAGAACAAAGCTATGACAACAACAAAAAGTGACTTTAAATCCTGGGAGTGATTGTATTGTACCTTTTTTTAAGAATAGCTATGTATAACTGATGACTTTTCTAGTTTTTAGAGCTGACTTAATTTATGTGAGCTAAAATATTGTGTTGGCCTGGAGGTTGCGGCGCTGCTTCATACCAACTTATACGTACTTTCTAAGTTAATTTGCACACCACTGACATACAGTGAAGGAAATTATGGTAACCGAAACTATATAATAATTCCTATTTACATTAACTATTAAAGAAATACGAACGACTATTATCAATTATAACTCAAGAACTCGAGGTGGATATCGGTCGCCACGGGCACTCAGCTCTCTGCGCCCCCCCCTCTTGTGACGCGAGAGCCTTTGCTTTCAAGTCCCAGGGTGGGGATTCCGCTAAGAGGCTGGCAGCCTTGATCGAAAGATATAATGCGGCAACCCCATATGGTAGTAAGGCGACGTTGGGCGCCGTCAGTCCATCCGCGCAAACCCGTAAAGAGCCATTGACCGCACAATCCCCATGTATAACCACCGACAGGATGAATTAAGGTTCCCCAGGTTGGGAAGCAAACGCGAAAGCGCCACTGCCGCGCCCCTTAGTTTGGGGACCAGTTGGACCCCGGAGGTGGGGTCCGAAGTCCCATCGACTGTCAAGGATCAGACTGAGATATTTCATGGTCGAATTGACAGCAATACGAACCCCTCCAACCGCAATATGCGAGCCTGCCGGTGGACCCCGCCGAGCGCTATGGAAACAAAAGACCTCGGAATTATTTAGAGCCACCTCTAGCCCCAAACGCCAGATCCTTGACGCAACTTGCGCAACACCTGCAGTTGGTAGTACGCAGCGTTCTGGTAACTGTTCCCGCGATGTCTAAAGAGACAGCCAAGACCACCTCAAAACCCAACCATTTACGAGTACTTTACTCCATAACAATTAACTATAAAAAATAATGTAGAGGTAGGTACAGTTCACTTTTTTTCCTATTTCTGTTTTTAAACTTTTTTATTGTTATTTGTCATAATGTGCAAGTTTTTTTTTCTGGCGTGCATATCTTATGTCGAATAAACGTATTTAAAGAACAATAGGTTGCGGTCACCGGTGACCGCTCGGTGTTTGACAGTTTAATGAAATACGCTATTAAGCCATCGCGCCCGTCGCGCGTGAGTACTGAATCATGCTATAAGGATTATTTTTGTGTAACGGTGTGCGTGTTTGTTAGGTATATTCAAATTACTGAAGGGACCGGAATGAACTTCGGAGGTACATTATTAGGACAAAGGTCAGACTGGGAGAAAATTCCTGCAGCATTAAGTCCACCTTATGCAGGTAGGTACGCTTTGTGCAAGAAGCTTAAATAAATAAATGATGGTCTGAAGTATATAATCAAAGGTTATATATATATCTCTACCTATACCTAGATGGAGTGTCAGTTCACGAAAAGCGGCCCAAAAGTTTGCAGTGAACTGTTTACTGCAATGCACTCACTCGTCAAGTAGTACCAACTTTTTTTAAATTATGTTCTTAAATTTAATTTACGGAAAAGTACAACGTGCTAATTTAGAAAAGAAATTGTTTCAATTAAAGATAAAATTGTAAAGAAATAACTTTAAAAATACTTTTCTTTGATTATAGAACAACGCAAGTTTATAGTATATTTATGAAAAAAAAAACATTAAAAGAGTCTTATATACTTATATTTGACGCGAATAAATAACGAATAAATTAACAATATTAACAAAGTGCTAACGAGGCCAATACAATTACATTTTTATAGAATATAGCAACAACGAACAGTCGAACAATATCACATATAATGTCGTCGGCCCAGGCTTTGTACTCGGATAAATATCTTTGGTCACTGAGTCGTGGCTCGTCTTGTCACGAGTAGATCGTCATCAGGATCATCTGTAACGAGACAACACACGGAGTGAGCGGCGACAGGGCAGGGCGCAGTCACCGGTCAGGGCGGGGATGCCAGGCAGGGCGAGGCGACCGCCCCAAGCACTGGGCGCACTCACCTCTTCCAGGGACACCGGGTTGCACTTGAGGCGCGCGTCCAGACTGCGGAACCGCTCTGCAACAATCATACGCACGGTTACTTCGCGGCCAACGCAACGCCGCGCCCCCGCCGCGCCCGCGCCATGACGCCCCCTACCGTGCGCCACGTGGAGCCGCGCCAGCGCCATGACGTACGCCTCGTGCGTCAGCCGCGCGCCGCGAGCGAACCGCAGCACCAGCGCCTCCAGCACCTTGTTGGACGCCGACACGCCCGCCTCCCGCAGCAGCTCGCGCAGCCAGTACGACGACGCGCGCCGCCGCGCCCCGCCGCACCGCCCCGCGCCCGCCACGCGCCTCCACGCCGCGCGCCACGCCGCCAGCAGCGCCAGCAGCGCCGGCAGCTCCGCCGCGCGCATGGCGCCCTCCAGGGTCGCGTCGCGCAGCGCCACCAGCGCCCCACACAGCTCCAGAGATGGCGGCGCGCACAGACAGGCGCGCCAGTGGCGCCGCAGAGCAAGGCGCAGCGCCGCGGCGTCCAGCTCGGCGGCGGTCGTGGACGCGTCGAGAGGGCCGCGCAAGTCGGCGGCGACGTCGCGCACGATGAGGTTGTCATCGTTGACCTCCCAGACGTCGGCGGGCCGGTCCGTCAGCACGCGCAGTAGGAAGGCGCCCTCGACGTGCGCGCGGCGCGCGTGCGGCACGAGCAGGTAGCGGCCGGGCGCCAGCGCGCAGAAGGCGACCACGTCGCGCGCGCGGCCGTGGTGCGCGGCGTCCAGCGGCCTGGCGCCCACGCCGGCGCCCGCGCTGGCGCCCGGCCGCAGCGCATACAGAGCGAAGCCCACGGTGAGCAGACTGCGCGCGCTCTGGCCGGGCTCGTAGTGCTGCGTCACTGCCACGACCACGTGGCACTTGCAGGCGTCCTCGCCCTCCGACTGCGGGATCTGCACCAGGAACTGAGGGTTGGCGCCCGTGGTCTCTGTGGCAGTGAGATAATGTGTCCACGAGTGGCAACAGACGGCGAGGCCGCAGGTGAGAGGGCTCGTACCGGCGCTGGGCGGGCCGCCCGCGTTGAACCCGGCGCGCCAGCGACGCCGCGCCAGCACGGCCCGCCAGGGCCTTCGCGCCTGCAGCGCGGGCTCCAGCAGCCAGTCGTCGGGGCCCACGTGCACCAGCTCCAACTGACTGAACGTGTCCACGAAATCATCAAATGATATCCTGCAAACGGAACCAAGTGTAACTGGATCTATAAACGGTACTAACAATCAAGCTATCGCCCAAGATGGCGCCCGGCGTGTATTACGCCTGTCGCCTTCAAGTCACCTGTAACTCCTCCATGTACTCCTAAATCCTAGCGATGTCTTACTCATTAATATCTTATACGTCTCATCTTATATTTTGTCTAATCCTTACTAATATTTTTACTAATATTATAAATCTGAAAGTGAGTACGTATGTTTATTTGTTTGTTTGTTCCGCTTTTACGCCGTAACTACTAAACCGATTGCTTTCAAATTTTGCAGACGTAAAGTCTGAAGGCCGGATTAAATAATAGGGTACTTTTTAACATAACATAACATCACGCCTTTTATCCCCGAAGGGGTAGGCAGAGGTGCACGTTACGGCACTTAATCCCAATCTAACACCCACTTTTCACTATTTATGTTATAAGTCCCAAGTAATAGGGGGTGAGCCTATTGCCATATACCGGGCACATTTCCAGACTCCGTGCTACAACTGAGATTTTTAAAAACCCAGTAATACTTTGATACTTTTTAATACTTTGGTACTTTTTAATCCCGGATATATTTGATAATCCCAAGGGAAAACGAAAATATTGGTATAGATGGCGCTATATAAAACAAGTCAACAAATTACTAAATGGTATCTATGTAGTAGTTACGCTACTAAGCGATAGATGGCACTGGGTGTTTTTAAAAACTTTGTAAGGTCGTTATTTAAGTATTCTTCGGTTTAAATTTTGGTTCCTACTATTTTACATTAAATTTTGTATATATGTATATAGGTTGTTTTGTTGTGATTTTAGGTTGTTATAGGTACACGAAATCATAACGTCAACAATACTTTGCAATCCTTACTAATACTATAAATCTGAAGCTGTATGTCATTTAAAACAAATCAACGAATTACCTACTAATTAGAAATCTCACGCTTTACATTATTATATATATATAAATCTATAGCGCTACCTACACTTATTCAGTGCACTTATCGAATCATTTATTTGCTGTTTTATATGTCAACGAATTAATAATCGGTATCTATGCAGTCGTTACGCTACTTAGCGATAGATGGCGCTGGGTGTTTTAAAAACGAGGTAACATGATTTTTAAGTACTTTTCGCTTTTAAATTTTGGTTCCTACTATTTTACTCAAAATGTGTATTCTATAGATTTTAGGCTTATAAAGGTACACGAAATCATAGCGTCAACAATACTTAACAAATAGCAAATAAATTGTACGTTGTTGTTTCAACGCTCAATAGATGGCGTTAGAATCGAGTGAGATGGCGCTATGGTTTCGTTACCGGCGAAAGTATAGATTCCGAGCTTCCGCAACAAATATACTTATCGTGAATGTGATGATTTTTTTCGCTCGCTTCATAATAAGTTTGGTTAGTCAAGTGATTTTTTCTAGGTAGGTAGATATATAGTGATTATTCCACGCAAATGAAAATGAAGTCACAACGAAGGACTATAGTAACTCGTGTACTTAACATGATAAAATATTATGAGGTTCCGTGTCAGGGTACTTACCAAAAGTCGTCCGGTGAGTCGGTGCTGGACATCAGAATGTCGCGATCATGCGGCGCCAGCGCCGCCCATTCAGCACTGCCGGGGGCCCAGGCCCCGCACCACGGGGCGCCAGCAGGGGCCCGCAGCCGCAACAGCAACGTGGCCTCCCGCACGCGCGCCAGTCCCGCCAGTACGTACGCGCGACCCGGCGCAAGGCCGCGCGCGCCCCGCGCTCCCCGCGGCCCGCGCGGTCCATGCGCCACCAGCAGCGAGGAGCGCGGCGCGGCGGCCTGCAGCACCTGCAGCGTCATCGCCCGCGGCTGCGAGCGCAGGGAGAAGCTCTGCACGACGCCGCCCGATAGCTCCTGTAGCGCGCGTGCCACGCTGGTGTCGCGCAGCGCTGCGTACGAACCGTGCAGCCTGCGCAGTACTGGTGTGAGACCGGACCGGGCCGGGCCTGGCCGCGCCGCGCCGTGTCGGGTCCGTACTCACTTAGCGTACGCTTTCTCCAGCAGCGGCAGCGTGAAGTCGTGCGAGCAGTGCTGGCGTGCGGTGCGGGCCGGTACCTTGTCACCGTGCAGGCAGTGCGCGCGGGCCGGTACCGGGTCACCGTGCGGGCAGTGCGCGCGGACCGGTACCGTGTCACCGTGCGGGCAGTGCGCGCGGGCCGGCAGTCTGTCGTCCACCACTACGTCGCGCCACTCGCCGAACACCCAGAATCGAAACCTGCACATCGCGCCACGCAATCTGTTACAGCCTAACTACGATATACAACGCAGAACTGTGACCCTCAAGTTCGTTCTATCGCGGGTTTAGTCAAGTATTTAATCTTAAGATCGATCGATGGCCTTGTTGATTTTGTGAAAATTGTAAATAGCGGTGTTAAGTTTCTTCGCCGATTCATGAATACCCGTGGTTCGGAATAGACATTGAAACAACGTCAGTATTAACAAGGGCATGGTACCTGAAGGCGCCCACGTAGCGGTGGCGGAAGGAGTGCGGCGGCAGCGCGCGGTCCAGTAGGCGCGGCGTCAGCGCCAGCGCGGCCGCCGCCACGCCCAGCGCGCCGCCCGCCGCCCAGCTGGAATATTTCAATAAGCAATTGCAATGTTCAACAACATATTTCCTCATTTTCGAATTTATTTGGCAAACTTTGTACATGTCATGTCTGTAAGGATCTGTAAGGATCTTTCGAGGCTTGTCATTTTTTGTACGGCGATTCGACTTTACGTCTATCTCAATATTTCCGGCACACCATGGATTAAAAACCGCGTGACCTGAGGCCCGGCACCAAGTGGTAATAGCCATGTAAGACGAAAATATGAAGTGTGATGTGGGACCTAGTGATGTAATGAATTTTAGACTTTCGCGAATGCAAATATCTGCCGACTTTGTTTATGACTTTATTTTGACAATCCGATCTTATGGCACCGACTTCTAACCTCAGTGGGTAGGTGACCTATCAGTACTAATGATAGTTATTTTGTTACTTTTTAGCTTTGACTTTTTGTTTTTAGTTTTTTGAAGTCGGTTTTATAAGCGCAGTTTTTATTTTATCATTTTCAGTGTAATGCTACATGATCCGTTTTGTCACCTATAATCTGCAAAGTTCTAATCAATACAAACTATAGAAGCCCAAACTCAATGTAGTCACTGTATACCGTTGAGGAGTTCCCGTAACAATTACACTTTATCATTTATCATTTGTATCAATAAGTATCAATATACTCTCGTCACAGAAGTTTGTGTTATTTGATCATTTCTACGCAATCTTCGTGTCTATATCAACGAGAAGCAGTCAACCTATCAACTATCATCCAAGTGTAGGCGCTTACAACCCCTACATTCATCACTAGCCCCACTCTATCTAGGTGCAAATTCCTCATCAATACAAATTAATGAAGCCCAAACACAAGATAGTTAATATAAACCGCTGAGGAGTCCTCTCGACTGTCTGTCGGCTCCATCATCAGGTCGACTCCAGACACTTATCAAATTGTAGTGTTTAAAAATCGTAATTGAAAAACATGATAGACGCATTACTCGCCCATAGAACTGGACCATTTCGGGAGTATACCCTTTTTTCGGGAATTTTGGAAATCGGTACACAAATGGCGGAATAATGCGCGACAAACAAAAAAAAATCAATCAGCCGAACCTCCTCCTTCTCCTCTTTTTAAAGTCGGTAAAAATGGGCGTGTTTGATATTTTTCTTTGCAGTCAGTCGCAAGACTAAGATCTATTGTACTTTCTGCCTTTTCAAAGCACGTTCCTCTGCTTCAGCCTGTTCACAGTGAGCGTCGGTTTTGCAAGTTCATCGGCGCATAATTCTTCTTGAAATTATCAATTTCCGATTGATCAGTCGGAACGTAAAGGTATTCATGTATTTCCGCATTTCTGGAGAACCACGGAACACTCGTGATGGAACGCAAAATGCTATTTTGAGGTCGTTGGATGCACATGATGTCGCTTTTACTAGCGGTTCTCTACAAAGGGATCCTATAGGTCCAGATAGGCTTCAACACGGCGTTGTAAATCAGCAGTTTGTTATCCACAGACAGGACTGAGTGTTTTCCCATAAGTCAGTAAAGCTTCCTGAACTTGTGATTTATTTCATCTCGCTTTTTTTATGGATAGCCCAAGTAAGCCGTCTGTCCAGGTGGAAACTGAGATACTTTACAACTTCTGAATCAGGCAGTTGGTCGTTGCCAAATTTTACAAGGGGGCAGTTATCTCTTTTCAGGGTAAATGTGATGTGGTTCGATTTCTGAGCACTTGCCCGAATGAGCGCCACCTTTCCATCCATGAGTATGTCTCGTCTAGTAGGTGTTGGAGTTTATCAGTGGCCGCTGAAGGGAGATCATCACTAGCGAGATACGCAACATCATCTGCATATATAGGTACGGTGACTTCCTCAAAGACAGGTACATCCAAAGTGAATATGTTGTATAATGCTGGGCCTGGCACAGAGCCCTGAGACCCGCCTTTTTTTTAAGGGGGGAAAATCATCGAATGACAGGCGGAAGAGAGTGTCAGACTCTTACTGACTAAAAACCACCCTGTTCCTTCTCCTGCACGTCGAGCCGGAGCCCCGGTTACCCGTTAGGTTCTCCGCGACTCCGAATCGGCATCGGCCCTATTGGGCCCCATCTGTGGTGGTCTGATGGCTCTTTGAGGCGCGCGCGGAACGCGACGCGCCGTACGCTCGGGTCTGTTTCTGGTCGGCAGGCCCGCGCTTACGGTGGCCGGAGATCGTCCCGCGATCCCCGACGCCCGGTGTGTCCTTCGCGACGGCTGGGTTGCGAGGAGGCAGCGCTTCGCTGCCTCACGCGTCCCGCCTCCTCCTTAGCTAGCATGATTGCTTCGCAAAAGGAGGAGACGGCATCCCAGTCCCCCTCGCTCCGCATCATGGCCTGCACTAGGCCCGGACGCGAGAGGTCGCCATCGCCGATCACTTCCCTGAGGGCACGGCGGTGCTCAGCCCACGCAGGGCATTCCGCTACAGTGTGTTCCACCGTGTCCTCAGGGACACCCGCCTGGATTCGTCGCAGAGCAGACCTGTATGATATGTGTAGGTATGATATTTTATAAAACTAAAGATATGGCGATTTTAAGAATAACCGCGACACTTCTGAAATGGCGATTCTTAAAAAAAGTAAATATATTTTTAAAGAATTTTAATTTTCAAACTGCCTCGTTGGCCGAGTCGTCGTAAGTGCGACTGCCGGGCAAGGGGCAGTCGCACTTACGACTCTCGGGTTCGATTCCCGGGTCGGGCAAAGTATTACTGGGTTTTTAAATATTCTCAGTAGTAGCACGGAGTCTGGAATTGTGCCCGGTATATGGCAATAGGCTCACCCCCTATTACATGGGACTCATAACATAAATAGTGGAAAGTGGGTGTTACATTGTACAGTGGTATAATGTGCACCTCTGCCTACCCCTTCGGGGATAAAAGGCGTGATGTTATGTTATGTTTAATTTTCAAAGTCAAAGCGTTTATTGCAACTAAGTGTACAGCACCTGTGTGACCTACTATAAGTAGGTCTGTGGAGTAGGTCTGTGGTGTACAGATGATGGTTATAAAATTATTACAGTGCTTAATACTTATCGGCCTCTTACAGACATTGCAACATTTTTAGTTATGTAGGTATACATTCATTGTTATTAACATTGTAGGTAGATATCACAAATCATAAAGAAAAGAAAAAATAATAATAATTGTCAGGTATATGTCACATCATAGTAATAATCAATTCAATAGGTATAATTGCTGTCGAGTTTAGGATGTCAATAATAAAATTATACAATGTCAAGGTATTACAATGTTATATTATGTCGAGTAGGTATAGACCTACTTAAAACAACTCAGCTTGATGATAAAACTTACCAATTTTGAATATAAAAGTAAAAAATTTGGTTTAAGCTTTGACCAAATATGGGATCTATGATGACTTTTGACAAATTATTCCTAATGGTGAATCCAAGGTCTCCACCAAAATTCGGCTCATCCCTAATTTATTATTTCAGTTGTCTACTTTGACCATCTGTTCCAACTTTAGATTAAAAATAAATAAATGTTTAAGTTTTAATATCACTGATAAAAGTGTCACAAAACAATGTATTTTAGTAAGATCTTGTTACCTACCTAGTCACGATACCAAACGCTCATCAAAAATTACAGTATTATGATTGCAAGTCTCTTTCACATGGGAACATGTCTCCAGTCAGCGGTTCAAGGGGCAATAGTTCAGCATGTGCGAGCAGAGCTCTGCGCGCTATTGTAAGCTAAGCTTGTAGAGCCTGTACGTGTCGGACGTTACCTGTCGCCGCCGCCCGGCTGCGGCCCGGCGCCATCGCCGCGGAACCTCGGCCGCGAGCACATCTCCTGCAACATTACACACGCGCGTCACTCCTGGTTTATTCCAGGTCAATTGTCAAATTTTCAGTTCGTTATGAGTTTATGACATCGGATTTGGCCCGATAAGTCTTTAAGGTTTTGTTTCTGGCGGTAGGTACAAAGTTTTAGTTTCTGTCCCACACACGAGTCGCCGATGCCGCGGTGTTGAGCGTTCGGCTCAAGCATTGAAAACATAGCCATCACCGCGACTGAGTTGTGAATCGTGATCGTGAAAACAAAAATCTTAAAATGCAATCTTGTCTAGTGGTTTCGTGCAAAAATAGAAGTTAACACAAAATATTTCAAAGTCATGGCATCAGCTCTGCCACGCCTACAACTACAATAGGTGCAGGTACGTGGTGTGGTTGACAATGCGGGGCTGACATCGCAATGCTGAGCACGTGGTCCGTCCGTTCGTGGTATTGTCTACCGGTACTAAAGACCTACACTCGCGTGTATATAAATCATGGCGGCTGTTTTAAGGCCGCGTTTCCACTGACGCTGAATCTGGGTGGAGCGGAACGGTGAAGAACGGTGAAAAGCGGTCAGTGTTTTCACTGAAGCGGAGCGGATTGGAATGGAGCGGAGCATACTTTGGGAATCGCGCATTTTTGGGCTTAGTTACACTCAATCTTTCAGAGAGACCATACGTCAGATTGTCGTTTAAAGAGGAAAAAAAACAAACGTTTATATCTTTCTCTACTGGAAGACGAAGATAACGAGTCAGATGTAGTAGCATTGACTGTTGCGCCCCGCTGTCCTCCGCTCTGCAGTCCAATGCGCGCCCTCCGCACCGCATCGCCTCGTTGTATTTTTATTATGAATATCCGCTCAGCTCTGCTCCACTCCGCACGTGCTGGTTCTATTGAAGTGGAGCAGAGATTTCGACCATAATGATTGGTCAATTCGTGCACCGCTAAGCTCCTTTCCGCCCCGGTCCGCGTCAGTGGAAACCCGGCCTAAGTTCTAGGTAGGTGCTGTACCTCGGTAGCCTTATGCTAACTCATATCGTTGGTTAACAGTACAATTTTTATGTAAATTTATTTAATAATTTATTGTTTCGTAAAAAAAATATTTGTCATTTAATTTATTTCGTAAATACATTTGATTTCAGTGACAGTAAAGTGCGGTGCAGTATGTAGGTGCAGTACGTAGTGTATACTGACGTGCGGGCGGCGCGGCGCGGCGCCGGCGGGGGGCGGGAAGGCGTCCTGGTACAGCGCGCCGCCGGACCTGCGACAGCACGCACACTGACGTCACACACACGACGACACCCGACTCCACCCGAAGTGGCCCGAAGGCTCTCTCGAACCACGTATTCGAGGCCTAGTTTACAGCACGGTAATAATAATGATGACATTACCGTGGTCACAGGCTTAGTGGGTAACCTAGTTTCACAAGAACGGTT